ACTGCAGGTCTAGGTTTCTAAGAACATTTTCTGGTTGGGAACTGTGAGCGCTTCTGTAGAAATAATGCTGGCAGCCATCTTCCTGCTGCCCCGACTCGAATCACCCCACTTTGGCAGCTACTCTTCTTTTTCCACTGTCCTCCTTTTCCCCACCCTGAGGACTTTGTAGCCATTAAAGGAAGAATACCGTCTAAAACTCAAAGCCAAAACAAGGATTGTTTTTCTAATAATTTTCAGCATTTGCATAATTGTTAGGTGTTTTTGACGTATCAGAAATATTCTAGAAGTAGAAAACAGGATGTTACATGCTGTCACTTCCTACAGAAACAAAAAAAATCAGCTTTTGGTCTCAGTTGTCAGCTTCATCTCCTTGTAGGGTCTTTAACTTACAATATAAAGCACTTTGAGGCGACTTTTGACACGATTTGAATCTTTTTAAATAATAATATAATTGATCTTTGTTACACAACAAGTCAAGGTGATAGGCAGGGATGAGCTTACCTAAAACAACAACAACATCAAAAAGAAAACTGTACACCACAGGAGAAAAAGAAAACGCAGTGGCATCAGTTACCTGATTGGAAGAAATGAAAGGAAATATCTCACGTTTGGAACATCATCGTGGAAATGTGTAATGCCAAAATGTATATGACTCAACTTGATTTATAACAGCTTCAGATTTTAAAAAGATGGCGATGTACCATGTGGCTAAAACAAGATCCAGCCTTAGGCCTCATCCTAGATGGACTGTCACTGTACGGATATTAAAAGGTTAAACTGAGAGACGATGAAGTTTCAGTAAATGTAGAAAGACGAATATAGTAAATTTAGATTCGATTTAGCTCAATGTCACAGTCCTAAAGATGCGCCGCTGAGAACGCCACAAGAGCAGCACAGAAAGCCTGCCTTCAACTGTGGATGCTTCCTGGGGATGGGGCGTTATATCATCACTGATGCTCTCTGCTCTTTATTTCATGAATCTGAATCTGACTCTGAACCAAACAATGCATGCCT